TAAAAAAAATACATAACCACGTAAAAAGAATATACCAAAATACATAATAATACTTAAAAATATTTAAAAATTATATATAAATATGTAAAATATACATAAAAATACTTTAAAAATACATAAATACGTGAAAAATATATCAAAATACATAAAAGTATGTAAAATTCATATAAATACCTAAAAATACGTTTATACATTAAAAATACATAAAAAATATGTTTATACATAAAATTACGTTTATACATCATAAATACATAAAAAAAACTATAATAAACTCTTAAAAAATTAAAATAATACATAAATACGTAATATATATATATATATATATATATATATATATATATATATATATATATATATATATATAGTTAGGTTCATTTGTTTAAACTAAGTATTGTGTTATCGTATGCATAAATGTGGACCAATCAAAATTAAATAAAAAATTAAATAATTAAATAAATAAATAAGGGTAATTTAGTAATTTGTTTAGTAACTTCCAAAATTAATCCCTATAATCATGGTATTGGCCTAATCTCTCCAATTTAAATCATGGACTACAAAATCGATCTCTCAATTCTGGTTTGTGTATCGTCATTTTGACCGATCGGGCACAGGGGAAAGAATGGGACGAAAGCTGTGGGAGATCGATGACATAAATTGAGGGGCACTGGCCGACCGACTATCACCGACGTTTTCTTTCTTTTCTTTCTGGCCCGATCAGCAGCCACACGAATGGGGAAGGCAAAGAAGATCGCTGATCTCCAAGGGGGTGTTTTAGGTGGTTTAATCGACTGAATCGGATGGAGAGGAGGGTGAAGCGAGGGCAGCAATATTAACGCCGGCGAGATCTCCATCGAACCTTTGATTAACGTCGGCGAGATCTATCAGATTTTGCTTCTCGGTGGAGCTACTCTTGGTAGAGATGGTACCATGGTGATTCTTAGATTCTTCTTAAACAAACAACTTTTTTGATAAATTTTCCAAACGAAACTATCAATTACGAATTCAAAAGATCAATTTATTTGTTTGTAGCGATGGCATTACGAATTCCATGCTTGCCTAAAGAACATCCATGGTCTGGAATCGGCTGTTTTGAAGGGTCACAAATCCGAGTTATCAGTTTGTAAGTATTTGGTAAATTACACTTTTCATCCTTTGGTTTATTTATATTTACAGATATGGGTCCATTGAAAGCCTTGGAAGTTTTGTAAGTTCCAAATTTATTATTCTTTTTCTTCAATTTATATTTGTTTTTTATAAATTCTTGAAGCATTTTATTATTTGTTTTATATGGTAATTTCAATTCAAGTGGACTTTAGGGGTTTTGAGTGATATGGAGATCATCGTGTTTCTTTCAAATGGTCTGATTGATGCAGCAAAGGGACTGATTCAAATGGTCTGATTCATATTTCAATTTATGTTTTTTTTTCTTCTGAATTAACACTTCATTTATGTGGACAGTGCAGGATCTTGACAAGGTTGAATTCTGAAAATGTATCAAGTATGTTTATGTAGATGCTTCAATGGATGATATTGGTGAGATTCCAATTCTATTGGAATGGAATCACGTATTCCAATTCTGTTGGAATGGAATCACGAATTCCAATTCTGTTGGAATCACAGAAGTTGATGCTTGAAGAACGGCCCACAAAATTGAAACGGACCACATTATTCTTTTAGAATGTATTAGTCGTTGTTAGATTTTGATGTTTTCTTTCCCGTTTTGAAAGTTTTTTTAGTTTTATTCTTTAATAATAAATGTAATTCTTAACAATTGTTACCCGTATTCTATAAGAAATAATGTATTTTTTGTTTTTATTCTTCAATTGATTGTTCAAGAATTTGTTATTCTACAAGAAGTTCAAGAATTTATGGTTCAAAAATATTTTTATTTTTGAGTAAATAATTAAATAAATAAACATATTCTGTCAGAATGTCCGAATTAAAATAGTTATAATTCGTAAAATCGGATTTTTAAAATTAATAGAATTTATGATCCCTTAAAATATGCATTTTTCCTTTATTAAATCTATATTAATTGACTAAAATACCCTTGTAATTAAATTAGATGATATTTTTCAATTACATTTAATTCAATAATATATATTAATCACTTTCTTAAAATAAGTAAAATTGATTGGCCCACAGTTATGAATACAATAACACAATAATTATTTTGAATAGAATAACCTATGTATATATATATATATAATATATATATATATATATATATATATATATATATAGATATATATAATATATATATATATAATATATATATATATATATATATATATACACACACACATAAAAATAGTTAAAAATACATAAAAATACGCTTATACATTATATACAAATTTTGAGAAAATTTGTAGAAACATACAATTATTTTTACGAAAGTTAATGATTTTGTCTCATGACATGTTATAGAGGTTAAAAAGGGATTAAAGTAAAGAAATTTGTGTGTTTTCTTAGGCGTTTCTATTAAAAAAACCATGATAATTTTTTTTGAGATTCCCTAAGTTAAATCAATCGAATCATGTAAATTTTTTATATAGTTTTATCGTTTTCTTTTTGCTTGTTTGCTTAACATATATTTTAGAATTTTAATACAAAAACATATGTGTTTCAAAATTTAGCAAAGATTAAAAACAAAAATTTAAAAAGGAAATGGCTAAACATCATAAAATATGTAATATTAATTGTTCATTGATTTGCAGAATGCGAAAGCACTCTAGAGGGAAAAGTCAACACATAATATATGTTCAAACTTGCACCACGTAAACCCTATAATGAAGTGAGTTGATCACCATCCTCCTTCCGTTGTTTTCAAACCCCTTTTGAATTGATCACCATTTTGTTTTCAAACCCCTTTTGAATTTATCACCATTTTGTAGCCCAATTTGCAGTCAACTGTATGCTCTCACCATTTTTGGATTGATCACCATTTTTGAATTGATCACCATGGTTGTAGCCTCATTTTTGAATTGAACACCATTTTTGTTGCCCCATTTGCAATCAACCATATGCTCTAACTATTTTTGAATGGATCACCATTTTTGTAGCCCCATTTGCAGTCAATAATATGCTCTCACCATTTTTGAATTGATCACCATGTTTGTAGCCTCATTTTTGATTTGAACACCATTTGTAGCCCCCCAATTTGCAACCAACTAGATGCTCTCACCATTTTTGTAGCCCCATTTTTTAATTGATCACCATTTCTGTAGCCCCATTTGCAGTCAACCATATAATACGCCATTGCCATTGATCAAGCTCACCAAAATTAGCAATTGTATAAAATATTTTTTATAAGAATAGTGCATAAATATTAAAAAGAAAACAAATATCATTATTAAATATTGAACTTATAATAGGGACAAGTGAATGAGTGTACATGTGGAATGGATTGAACAAAGAATGATGATGCTTTCTCTCAACAACAAAAGGATTATAAAGACGGAACAAACAATCCACTAACTCATTACAACAACAATTGATCCAGTTAATTTCACCCCTTTTCCACGACTATTATTAAAAAAAACATAAAAATGTATCTTATCCATAAGATGGGCGAAAAAAGAGTATTGAAATGCACTTTTTGGTTTGAAATCTCCGTATAACCCGTGTACGCGTAAGATATATATGAATTACAAGATTATCTATCTAGAAGAGCTCTTATGGAAGGGTTCTCCAACATAGATACTTATAGGACCGTACCGCATCAATGTGAGATACATTATCATTCGCGTCAACTCAGATAACATAGACCATATAAGATACATGTGTGTTGAAGATTGTCTTCCCAAAAGATCCCTTATGGAGAGAGGGTAGACTTCAACATATACAAACACTTATAGAACTGTGTTAGTATGTTACATCGATGCATGATACACTAACAATACATAACTACCTTGATAACCCTGGTTGTTTCCTATTTCACTCCAATTACCTCTTTAGTTTTTAAAAAATTAATGTTGAGCTTGAAACACACCCATCATCCACTAATCGGAGCACAAACCTCCTTCACCATCAGAAAATGGACAAAGATATCAGGTTTAGATTCCACCTCAACACCAAAAATCCACACCATAGAGAAACCTTTTAAAGACAATTTGTGGACTACATTTTTTTTTTTTTATTTTTTTTAATTTTTATTTTTAATTTTTTTGTAATTTCATGTTGTTGAATATTGTGAACTTCAATTTCCTTTATTTTTCACGAGATCGAAAATTTATATTCGTATATATTTAATTTGATTTTTATAAGAGAATTATCTATATATTACTTATATTACACAAGAATGAATTTTAGTAAAATATAGTAGAATGTTTATAACATTAATAAGTTTTGAGTTACAAGAACCATGCACATCCCAAAATGCCCGTAACAGCCCGGCATCTCCTTGTTTAGAATTTCTTTTTCTTTTGGCTGAAATATATTTCATATAATTAATGACCAAAACATTAAAGTAATTTCCTGAATTAACATTAAAAGTAAAATCACTTTCTACGCGTATATTGGAAAGTCAAAGTCAGCCCTTTACCTACAAACTTGCCATGAAATTTAATTTTGTGTGACCGAGCCCACATGTATTCATTGAGATCATATATATGTTTGTTCTGATATATTTGATTTTCTGTATATTTATGTGTTTGATATTTATTATAAAAACAAACTTATATCCAAATTTTACCTAACATATCAAATAGAATTTTGAAAAGAAAAGGCTAAAAATCGGAAAATATGTAATATAAATTGCTCATTGCTTGCAGAATGCGAAAGTACTCTATAAAGAAAGAGTCAACATGGAATCTATTTTTAAAGTTGCAGCTGGTAAACGCTATAACGAAAGCAGTTGAGTATCATCCTCCTTCCTGGGTTTTTTCAAACACCTTTGAATATATCACCATTTTTGTAACCCCATTCGCAGTCAACTATATGCTCTCTACTCTATATAAATACGCCAATGCTGTCGATCAAGCTCACCAAATTAACTGAACATGAAGAATAATTCTCAACTTAGCTCTTCTGTCTTCCTCTTTCTTCTAATTTTCTCGTTTTCTGTTTCATGGGCAACCTTGTTATCTTCCCCAGGCTCCGGAAATCTCATAAGCTGCCTACAGTCCCACTCCAACAATGTCAGTACCATCTCTCAACTCATTTTCACCCCTGTCAATGCTTCTTTCCTACCCATTTGGCAAGTCGCTGTTCAAAACACCAGGTTCCTTAAGCCCTCCACGCCTAGACCATCAGTCATCGTGACACCTGTGGAGGAAACCCTTATACAAACGTCTCTATACTGTGCCAAGAAACACGGATATGAGATCAGGATCAGGAGTGGGGGCCATGACTGGGAGGGCCTCTCATACACTGCTGATGTTCCCTTTGTTATGCTTGATTTCACCAACATGAGGTCTATAGACGTGGACGTAGCAAAAAGGACTGCTTGGGTCCAAGCAGGCGCTACGCTTGGTGAACTCTACTACAAAATTTCGCGAGAGACCGATACCTTGTATTTCCCGGCAGGTGTTTGCCCAACGGTGGGTGTTGGTGGTTACATGGGCGGTGGTGGCTACGGAAACCTGTTGAGGAAATTCGGTACTGCTGCCGATAATGTTCTGGATGCTCGCTTCATGGATGTTGATGGGAATATTCTCGACAGGAAATCAATGGGAGAAGATTTGTTTTGGGCGATCCGAGGAGGTGGTTCTTCAAGTTTCGGAATTGTTCTTGCATGGAAGCTGAGCTTGGTTCCAGTTCCAAAAAAAGTAACCGTCTTTATACTGAATAAAACTTTGGAACAAGGGGCAACCGAAATCTTCCATAAATATCAATACGTTGCACCATATATTGATAGAAACTTGCACATAAGAACTCAAGTTTTCGCCGAATATATCGGCAACACTACCAAGAAAACCATAAGAATTATGTTTGAAGGAATATATCAGGGGACAAGAGACACATTGCTTCCGTTGCTTGATAGAAAATTTCCAGGGCTCGGTGTTACCCGAGAGATTTGTGAAGAAATTAAAATGGTCCAGTCGACCCTTGTGTTTTGGGGCTTGCCAAGCTCCACCCCGACTCAAATTCTTACGAACCGATCTGCCATTGCCAAGCTGAACAACAAAAGCAAATCAGATTATGTCCGGACACCCATCCCCGTAAGTGGGCTCAGAAAGATATGGAGAAAGCTTATCCAAAACGATGAATCAGCGCTTCTGATGATCAATCCATTTGGCGGAAGGATGGCTGATTTTTCAGAGACAGCACTTCCATATCCTCATAGAGCGGGCGTGTTGTTACAAATTCTCAAGACTGTCAATTTTAACGGTCAACCTTCAGACACAACCCCTACATCCCTAAAGAGGGTAGCTTGGCTGCGAAGCTTGGATGCATTATTGGCTCCTTATGTATCGAACAACCCCAGAGAGGCATATTCCAACTACAATGATCTGGATTTGGGTGTTGGAAGTTCTAATTATGAAGAAGCAAGTGTTTGGGGTGAGAGATACTGGAAGAGGGACAACTTCATGAAGTTGATTCGAATTAAGGCAAAAGTTGATCCGCACAATTTCTTTAGGCGTCCACAAAGTATCCCTGTTTTCTAACACCTTGATCAGCTCTCTCCGTTATGTGAAACTCCGAGAAAGAACCAAAACATGCCTTTTATTATTTTATTTTATTTTTTCATGAAATACTAGCAACAATGCTACTTTCTGTCGGGTTCTTTTCCTATAAATGATCTCCATGGTAAGACATATACGTCTATCAGTTAATGGTCGAATTGTGATAATAATTTGTATATTTAATTATGATTTTATCTAATAATTACATTATTCGTATTCTTATATTTCTTGGTTAATCTTTTTGTTGTGTGATAAACCCAATTTTTAATTAAGAGTCAAATTAAACTTTAGACTTGGATTAAAGTACTTTGGTAGAGACTAACATATGTTGAAACGTGTATGGTTTTATTTTTTATTTTTGAACAACAAAGATTTCATACAACTACTCTAGGAAGGAGCTAGAGCAAACCCAAAAAAACAAAGGGAAACTAATTGGTGGTGCCGTGGTAGTGGCGGGAAATTTTCCTAAGGAGGAAAACTCAAACTGACTTGTGTTTGCTGGGCCAAATTAATTTATAATAATGAATGTAATCACGGCTCTTGTTTACGTAATTAAAATCAATATTCACAATTACAAATATATTATAAGAAAATGAATATTCACTGTACAATCAACAAAGCAGCAGACGCGGGCCAAATAAGGCGAGACACTCCATCACATGCAGCAACGTGGGACAGGGTTGTTAGAACATGGATGCGGATATATATTGAAAATAAAGTTGCTTGACAATGGTGATACTAATGTTAATTTCATACTCTAAATTAAAGTTTTCCCGTATAAATGGCTTAACAATCAACGGTTTGTGGGTCTCTTGTCTTGAGAGGATCAAAGAGGAGATCTTCATGTTTTATAAACAAAAATTTGAAGAGCCTATCACCGCTAGGCCGTTCTTCCGGAGTGTCAGAATCAAGAAGATATCTAATGAGGATAGTAATAAGTTAGAGGTGCCTTTCACCATGGAGGAAGTTAAAATAGCCGTGTGGAATTGTGGTAACGACTAGTCACTAGGCCCGGATGGCTTCACATTTGCTTTTATTAAAAAGTTTTGGAATGTTGTTGGACCAAATTTCTTGTTGGGTTGTATAGACTTGATCAAATTCAAGTGAGCATTAGGAATCACAAGTGAACATCATGGATCACAAGTGAGCATCAAGAATTACAAGTGAGCATCAAGGATCACATGTAAGCATCATGAATCACGAGTGAGCATCATGGATCACGACTGAGCATTAGGGATCACGAGTGAGCATCGAGGATCTCGTGTGAGCATCATGGATGTTGAAAATGCTCAAGTAGGTCACCTTGATCGAACCACGTTAAATGTTGTGTTTTTCAGAAGTTTTATTTCGTAAGTTTCACCGAAGTTTGTTTGATATTTGTCTGAAGTTCTTAATTTGTTTTGTTGTTATCGAAACAAACTGGTATCAAAGCTATGGCTGAAGATGGGAATGTTAAGTTCGACAAATTCACTGGTCATGATTTTGGTTTTTGGAAAATGCAAATCGAATACTATCTCTACCAGAAGAAGTTACATGAACCATTGTCTGAAAGCAAACCTGAAGAAATAAAGTAGGAGGATTGGGAACTGTTAGATCGGCCGACACTTGGTGTGGTCAGATTATCCTTGGCAAAGAAAGTAGCTTGCAACATTGTCAATGTGAAGAGTACTTATGGGTTGATTAAACCACTATCTAACATGTACGAAAAACCTTCAACAACGAATAAGGTTCACTTGATTCGATAGTTGATAAATCTGAAGATGAAGGAGGGTGGCTCGGTGACTGATCATGTTAATCAATTTAATTCAATCCTATCAAGGCTAATGCCATTTGAGATTAAATTTGAAGATGAAGTCATGATGTTGCTATTATTATCATCTTCGCCTAATAGTTGGCCTCGTACAGTGACAACGGTTAGCAACTCAACTGGGGGTTTTAAGTTGACATTCAAAGGCATTCATGATTTAATCCTTGGTGAAGATGTATGCAGACGAAGTGCTAGAAAAACTTTGAATAATATTCTGAGTACTAAGAATAGGGGAAGGGAGTCCAACATAAGGGGTGGGGTAGTGGAAGATGAAAGTCGAGAAGAAGATGTGGACATAACAACAGGAGCGATGTTATATATTGGAACTGAAAAGAGAGTGGTCATGTCAAAACTCAGTTCCCAAAGCTCATAGAAGATAAAGGCCAAAAGGATATGAATATTGCAATAGATTTTGAAGGCGACACACTCATTTGTTCAGTTGAAAACTCATTAGAATCCTGGGTCTTGGATTTTGGTGTGTCATTTCACTCTATTCATTCCATAGATGTAATGCAACACTTTAGGCATTTCCAATGGAAGGTCAAACTGGCATATAACAAGTGTATGGATATCATGAGTGTTAGAGATGTGGTTCTCAAAACGACTCTAGGTGCAGATTAGACTTTAAAGAATGTCAAGTTCATTCCATACCTAAAGAGGATGTTGATATCAGTTATGGAACTTGATAATGAAGATCATCATGTTGCATTTGGTGATCAAAAATGGAAAGTGAAGAAGGGAAACTTGATCGTTGCTAAGGGTCAAAAATATGATACACTATATCTGGTGGAAGTTTATGAATATTAAGCACATGTTGTTGAAGGGGTTGAGACATCCACTTTATGCCACCAAAGATTTGTTCATATGAGTGAGAAGGGAATGATGAAGCTTGTATCCAAAGGGAGAATTCCAAATATGAAGATTGTGATAAATGCTTCTAAACCATGTTCTATTAGAAGACATAACAAAGTCAATTTTGAAAAGATAGGCAATTCGCCTAAGTTTAGGAAGTCGGTTTTAGTTCATTCTAGTGTTTACAGCCCCACTTCAATTCTTCTGTGGGAGGATTCCAGAATCATGCAAGATCTATCACTATTGAAAGGATAGATAGATATTAAGGAAGCTGTGGGAGCTCTGAGAAATCTGGAAAGAATGGGAGCTTTGTGATAATAGTTATGAGGGTGGAGTTGTAGGTGTTTCGAAGACCATACCTCCTATTATCCTGAGGACCACTAAGAAAAGTACTCTAGTGAGAAATTCTCCATCAACCAACGAATTGTAGATGTGTGAGAATGGGTTAAAGCAATAGGCCTTGAGGATGAACTCCATACAGTGGGAGAATGCTATGTATAACGAGTTGAGTGGACTGTAGAATGATTAGATGTTTCAGGCTAAGGATGAGATAGATGGTGGAAAAAATTTCAAGGGAAGATGGGTAGTCAAGGGAATCCAACAAAAGTGAGAGTGTGATTCTCCAGTTGTGAAGATGACTATAATCAGTTCCATCTTGAATGTAGTGGCCTCTGACAATCTTCATCTATAGTAGCTAGATGTGAATAGAACATATCTCCTTGATGATAATCTACAAGGAGACATCTGGAAGGCACAAACATAAAGTGCTCTTACAGCTGGTAAGAAAAGGTCGGTATTCAAAAAAGGAAAACATGTATGGCATGAAGATTTTGAATGGCAGTGTACACTAAGTTGTTCAAACCTTCAAGTGGGAGATTATTGGGCGCGCCTTAGTACGCTAGGCATAAACCTCGTACGTAGGGCGTACGTGGAGATCATGCAACCCCAATTTTTAGGGTTTTAGCTAATATTTAAACCTTATTATAGCTTCACTTTACCATTCCCATTCAACCTCTTACTCTGTAATCGATCCCCAAGCAAACCCTAAGAGCAAGAGTGCGTTTTGGAGTCTTTTGAGAGTTTTGAAGTGTTTTTGAAGAAAGAAGAAAGTGGTGAGAAGATCTTGAAGTTTGAAAGCACTTTGGATCTGGGATTTCTATCTTGATTGCAAACTCCAGGAAGTGTTTTTGTAGATCTAGATTCTTTGTAACGCCCCATTTCTGGTATGTGATTTAAATAAAGTAATTTTCATTTCTTAAGGGGTACTCGACGAGTCAGTAGCCCGACTCGTCGAGTAGAAGCAGGGTTTGCACGCGATTTAAGTTGGCGACTCGACGAGTCCATATTCCCAGACTCGGCGAGTCTGCCAGTCTAGATGAAACCCTAATTTCAAGGGTTTGCACCCTATTTAAACATCTTATGTGTCCCAAGACCAGCCTCCCTCACCCACAAAGAGTCCCATAAGAAACCCTAGCCGTTCTTAAGCATTTTTGGAGCTTTTTCTCACTTGTGAAGGTTTTAGTGCATCTTGGGGATTTGGGAAAGAAGAGAGAAGAGAAGTATTCAAGGGGAGCAAGTAGATCCAAACTTCTGGTTGCATTTCAGTCCCCTTTGAGGTATCAAGCTCGAATCTTTTCTTATTATCAATTAGATCTCTTGAGAAGTTTGCTCTTGTTGATTTTGAGCCCTTTCTAGACCTTAAGGTCGAATTAAGAGTTAATATGATGAATGGACTTCAGATCTAAGCTTTCTAGAGCCTCTTAAGCTCAAGGTTGCCACCTTTATTGAGCCAAGTTTCCATTCCAAGCTTAGATCTCTTCCTTTAGCTTATTTTGGGTATTTGAGCTTCATATTATCATGCATGCACATAAAGTTAGAAACTTTACGTGAAAAACCAGCCCTAAGGGCCCAGGTCTATGAATGGAATGCACTGGATTCGAGCAGAATTGACTGTTTAGTAATGAAATGCATGGGACTCGACGAGTCGTTCTTCAGACTCAGAGAGTCGAATCGCGAGTCCCTATTTTTCCCCATTTGAGAGTTTAAGGTGGAATCAGTGAGTGGATAAGGGACTCAGTGAGTTAGGGCTCAGATCTAGTTTGGAGGGACTCGACGAGTTGTTCACACAACTCGGCGAGTCGTGCCTGATCTCATTCATAGGATGAAGGAGGACTCGACGAGTTGTTCATACAACTCGGCGAGTCAGATGAAGATGAACTAGATGTTAGTATTGAAGAGGAACTCATCGAGCCTTTGCCAAACTTGACGAGTAGAAGCGGGTAGAGGATTAGAAAGGATGACAAGGACTCGGCGAGTTGGCGGACCAACTCAGCGAGTCAGGTCAACTGAGAGTTGACTTTGGCCAGAAGGTTGACTTTGACCAGGGGTAAAATAGTCATTTTACCCTGAGGGCAGTTATCAGTATCTGATCTAGTGTTTATGGGATTTATAGCCGGG